GTGAACGACTGGGTGATGCCGTGCTCCGCACAGTAGGCTGCCAAGAGGTCAGAGGAGAACTCACCACCTCTGTCAGAGTGCAGACGCAGGACAGGAAAGTCCCGCCGGAATCGCTCGCGGAGCTGGAGACGAACAGTGCGGATCCAAGGGATCAAAACATCAGGGACGTCCCCCTTGCTCTGCAAGGGGAAGACCGTGGTGTAACGCGTGTAGTCGTCGACGACCAGCAGGAAGTACCGCTCGCGGCCCTGTCCCTGGACGCGGGTTGGGCCCCACACGTCCAGGTGGAGCGTCTGCAGGGGAGCCTCTGTGGGAGGAAACGAGGAGGAGTGAGGAGCGGCGCGCTGCCGCCCCTCGACGCAAGGAATGCAGGGCGGCGCAGGCGAGGGAGGGAGGGCAGGCAGAGACCTGGGAAGACCAGAGACCAGGGAGCGAGAGTGCATGCTACGCAGGCGAGGCAAGGAGGGGTGACCAAGGCGGTGGTGCCACAGGAGAGTGTCGTGCGACAAAGCGCGACACTCGCAGGGGGCCGCCAGCTGACCAGACGTAGACGCAGACGCAGCTACCTGAGGGGACTCAGTGGTCAGTGTGTACAGACTCGAGCCAGGTGCACGGGTGAACGTGGCCAAGTGCCGGCCCGTCCTAGCACACGTGCAGTGAGTCACTCGCTGACTCGCAGGAGTGAACTGGTCAACCCCGTGATCCTGGAGGGCAGCTCCACTCACCAAGTTCGTAGAGAACAAGGGGAGGTAAAGACCTGACAGGAAGCCAGACGGGACGGCCGGACACGGCAGAACCGTGGAGTAGTGGGCAAGGACTGGACCCCCAGAGGGGTCCGCCAGGGAGACCGGAACTGGCCGACTGAGCGGCGTGAGTGTGGTGCAGTCGCGAAAGAAAGAGCGAGAAGCTCCTGAGTCAAGGGTGAAGGTGTGCAAGGCCGCAGCAGGCGCAGTACCAGAAAGAGCAAACTCACCAGCACCTAGAGCAGCAGTCTCACCAGCACCTAGAGCAGGAGACGCACGAGCACCTAGAGCAGCAGCCTCACCAGTACCGAGAGCAGCAGGCGCTATACCAGGGTCAGGCGGGACGCACAGGTAACAGGCACGGTCGACACTAGTAGGCAATGCATACATGGCAGTGAGAATAGCATCATAGTCAAGTGCAAAGATATCTACCCTCTGTCCAAGCAGCTCCGGCCAGGCAGGGAGCTCAGCCTCGTCTCCAAACACGGTACGCCAGGCGTCGCTCAGACGGGCGAAGCAGCGGGACTGTGTGTGACCAAGCGTCCCGCAAGGCTGACCAGTCCTAACACCTGTGCGAATGACGTACGGGCAGCGAACGGTACGCGTAGACCTGCTACACTGAGTGTACCACTCCTGGAGCTGCCGGGGCGTAAGTGTCTCGCGAGGACGCCCCTGCAGCTGCAGCTGGCCACTGCCAGACGCCCCCAACTGACCAGCTCCAGGGCGACTGCTACGACGGCCACCTCGACAGCCCCAAACCCTATACCACTCATCAAGCTGCTGGGGCGTGAGAGACACGCAGGAACGACGCTGGAGCTGCATCTGGCCACCTGCTAATAGCAGGAGTAGTAGCAGTAGCGCGGGCAGGGCAGGCGCGACAGGCAGGCAAGCAGGCAGGCAGGCAGGCCGACAGGCAGGCAGGCAGGCAGGCAGGCAGACAAGCCGGCAGGCAGGCAGGCAGACAGGCCGGCAGGCAGGCAGGCAGGCAGGCAGACAGGCCGGCAGGCAGACAGGCAGGCAGGCAAGCAGGCAGGCAGGCAGGCCGGCAGGCAGGCAGGCAGGCAGGCAGACAGACAGGCAGGCAGACAGGCAGGCCGGCAGGCAGGCAGGCAGGCAGGCAGGCAGACAGGCAGGCCTGCAGGCAGGCAGGCAGGTGCTCACCAAAGGCTGGAAGAGCAGGCGCTCGCCGGGCGAGCAGGGTCGGCGCTCGACGGGCGGCGGCCGAGTAGGCGCACGACAGTGGCGACGTCGGGGCCGCAACAACGGCTGCAGAGTAGGGCCGCGGCAGCTGCAGGGCGGGGCCGCTTCAGCGGCAGTCGCAGGGTGGGGCCGCGTCAGCGGCAGGTCGGGGTCGCGGCAGCTGTAGGGCGGGGCCGCATCAGCGGCAGGTCGGGGCCGTGGCAGCTGCAGGGCGGGGCCGCATCAGCGGCAGGTCGGGGCCGAGGCAGAGGGCCGCGCGCGGCTCGGCGCGGGCTGCGCTGACAGCGCGCTGGGCTGCTGCAGGCCGCGCGCGGCCGCGCTAGGCAGTAGCGGGCCGCGCGCGGCTCGGCGCGGGCTGCTGCGGGCCGCGCGCGGGCCGCGCGAGGCAGTAGCAGGCCGCGCGCGGCTCGGCGCGGGCTGCTGCGGGCCGCGCGCGGGCCTCGCGAGGCCGTAGCAGGCCGCGCGCGGCTCGACGCGGGCTGCGTGGGCTCGGCGCGGGCTGCGCGCGGCAGCAGCGGGCTGCGCGCGGCTCGGTGCGGGCTGCGCGCGGCTGCAGCGGGCTGCGCGCGGCTCGGTGCGGGCTGCGCGCGGCTGCAGCGGGCTGCGCGGGCTCGGTGCGGGCTGCGCGCGGCTGCAGCGGGCTGCGCGCGGCTCGGTGCGGGCTGCGCGGGCTCGGTGCGGGCAGCGCGCGGCAGCAAGGGGCCTAACGGTCTGCAGGGGCTGTTCGCGGGCCTGAACGGCGTGTAGGGGCGGCGCGCGGGCCTTACGGGCCTCTAGAAGCAGCGCGCTGGCCTAGGGCAGCAGGAGGCAGCGCTAGGGCTGCTGGACGGCGCGCGTAGTGCAGCACGTCACAAGGCAAGGCAAGGCAGGCAGGTACGTGGGGTAGCGCGGTAACCGCAGCGGTAAATGGGCCCGAAAAAAAAAAAAAAAACGGTCCAACGGACCTTAGTGCTCTGAAACCATGTTAGAATCTAGCAGCAGGAATGGATGAACTAACAGGATGCAGGAGTACAAGTAGTAAACCCTAATTGGGTTGTACCCCATATGGGCTACCCCACTACAGCCTAGACAATATGCAGTACATATAGTTTGACAGCATCACCGATGTTTTTAGAGATGCAATGAGTTCCATATTCTTACCAGTCTAGTAGATTAGGCCTTCTTCTTCAGGTAAACTAGCTTATAACCTTTCCGATCGACATCATTTGGGAGATTTCAGAGTTTGAGCTCCGCTTTGTACCTACACACTAGTGTGCATTCTGACCGAACCGACCGACGCATTATTCTCTTTGTACAAATACAATTAATTCCATATGTATTCCCATTTCCTTGAAATTATACTATTCCCCACCCCTCGACCATGTTTTAATCTATTGGATCTATGTAATTTAGCAGATATAGACATTTCAGTCGTACATGGTACAAACACTACAGGCGCGCATACCGACCAAACTGACGAGCGCATTACTGATGTTTTTAGAGATGCAGTTAGTACCATATTCTTACCAGTTTACTTGATTATGCCTTCTACTTCAACAACACTAGCTTATAACCTTTCCGATCCACATAATTTGGGAGATTTCAGAGTTTGAGCTCCGCCTTGTACCTACAAACAAATGTGCATTCTGACCGAACTGAGCGACGCATTATTCTCTTTGAAAAAATACAATGAATACCATATATATTCCCATTTCCTATATAGTTTATACCATTCCTCACCCCTTGACCATTCTGCCGTTGTCATACAGCTTTGGGGAACTGGCTAGGTGTGTGTTTCTTTGTAGCAACAACTTGTGCGCTGCATCCTGCCCTTCGTCTACAGTTCACTGATGTTTGTTAATCAGCTGCGTAGGCTTGACCCCCATCATCTCATTTTTGTACAATATTACGGTATCTTGACAAGGCTCTACCGTAATCACCCGGACAAAACACCCCCCCGTAATAGTACACCCCCGGGTAGCTTGTGCGGGGGGGGTGCTATAGCCGACCTCGTTTGTACTATACCCCCCCTTTTGGGGCGATTCTTTATAACACCCCCCTTTTCTTACGAAACCCTATTATAGCTGTTATCGAGTCAGATTTTTTACGGGAGGATATGACGAAAATCGCTCCCTGAATGAAATTTCGCGTGCACTTTCACTTCGAATCTACCGAGATTCCCTCCCTTCCACAATCTCGCTGTCGCCACGCTGGCGAATCTTTTGCTGCACGTGGCCCGAGAGGTGAAACTCGCTTTCTCGCCAAAACTCGAATTCTCGCCTCAACCTGTGATGTTATAACGACTATTGAAACACCCAAATTGTCTAATTAATTTTTTTTCTTACACTAAAAAGTGCCATATATAACCACCCGGGTATTATATAGGATTTTCCGTTGAGAGGACCCCCCCCCCCTTTTTTCCCTGTGGTTATCATAATACCCCCGGGTGTTATGTCCGGGTGATTACGGTAGTCCAATGTTCTCACACCTTCTACATAAATATTATCGGTTGAACAAGTCATTCAGCTGATCACAGAGCTTTCCATCCATCAAGTAAAGCCAAGCGCTAAGTGTCACCTACCATGTCTCCCCCTTGTTCCTAGTGCTTACACATTAGCAGTAGGACGCGTAATCAGCATGCCACGCATATCGGTAATGTAGATTACTCTATTGTGCACATGTGCTGATCGGTACATGACTCCAGTGAGTACCGTCATTGTCTTCGTGTTGAAGGTGTGAATGATACTATTAGGCCATAGACCGTTGGTCCCAAGTTCAATAAGATGCTGTACGTACAGTACAGTAATGGTAGTAGATCCGCCAGAAACTTGTCATACACAGTTCCACAGGTTCTTTCAAAACAAGCAAACTCAAATCATGGTACCGTATCTATGTGTAAGCAACTGCTCCTTGCTAATCAAACGAGCCTGGCTTAGTCCCCCCATACATCCTATCCATTTTGCTTCCAAGTATCTGGAAGCTTCAGCGACACAGCAGTCCTAGCAGACGACCAGCAAGGCGGGCCTCAGCCCACATTGCACTGCTCCAGTCAGATTATCATCCTACCGTACCTACATGCTACTTGGCGTGAGGGCCAGCATTGGCCTTGACAAACGCCGTGAAGTTGGGGTCCAAAGGCATGAGGTCCAGACCATACGGGGGCACAAACACCTGCACGCCGCCCTCCACTGCCACATACACCGGGCCCCATATGACCGGCATTGGAGCCACCGCTCCCCCTCCATCCGTCCACTGCAGCAGCGTGTTATTCACAGCTGCCACCAGCCCAGGAACCGGCGCTGTTGTATTCGCCACGACTTGCCGCGACGCCGCACCTGCCTGAAACTGGTTCTGCTCTAGAAGCACCTGCGCCGCCACACGCGCCTCCATGGCATCTCCCGTCCACCCCGTGTACAGATTATTCGCCATGTGGCACAGCCCCAGCCGGCACATGGGCTGCCACGCAGGTGCCGCGGACCGGTCAAACCAGTTACGGTACACCGTAACGTTCATACCGGAGTTGATATTGTCGGAGTCGGATTGGCCAAGGTGCAACGCGAAGCCCTGCTGGTTGGAGGCGAAGTGGCAGTTGGAGATGGTGACGCCTGTGCTGTTGCGCGCGAGCTCTATGGCGCCGGAGAGCGTGGAGGTGTTGGAGAAGCGACAGTGGTCCAGCCACACGCCCGTGCTGTTGTACAGCGCTATGTGCGCTGGGGCACGCACGCTGCCGGAGACTGCGGGCGCACGGGGTGTAGAGAGGCGGGAGAAGGGAGGGGGGATTAGGGGCGAAGCGCAACCAATATGGAATGGAATCCACCAGCATAGGTGGGTCCTGAGGGCAAAGGTTCTGACTCTTCTGGGGTATGGTTGCTGCTCTGAGTAATAAAGATGGGAGCCGGAGAAAGGGAGGAATGTGAGGGGGAGGGGGAGCAAAAAGGGTCACGGAGGGATGGAAAAGGTGGAGGAATGAAGTGGATGAGGAGGCGAGGAGAGGAGAGGAGGGCATGGCTTACTCTCGATGTTATGTATGATGACGCCGCGCGAGTGCTGCACCAGCAGGCTGTCCCCCACCAGCTTCACGCTCCTGCCGCGCCCGTCGATGGTCGTCTGCGACTTGACGTACAGCGGCGCCGCCAGCACGATCGTCATGTCGCGCGCAAACCGGAACACCGCGCCCGTGCGCGCGTAGTTCGAAATGCCCCACCGCAGCGAGCCCTGTCGCGACGACGCTGCGAAGTCCTCGTCCAGGGTAACCACGTACACCGGTCGCTCACCGCTGCTCCCGTCGGTCGTGTTGCCAGCGCTGCCATTCCCGGCCGCCAGAGCCGCGGCGGCAAACCCAACGGCGCATGCCGCCAACCCATCCGCCCCGCTCGCACCCGGAGCGTACTGGCAGTCGGGGGATTCGGGCGGGGGGGGAGGCGGCGGGGGGGGAGCGGGGGGCGAAGCCACAGTGCCGTTGGCGGCGGTGACGTTGCTGACAGTTGCTGGTAGTGCCGTTGCCAGCCGTACCGTTGCCGGCTGTGCCATTTCCGGCGGTGCCGTTGCCGGCGGTGGCGTTGCTGGCAGTGGAATCGGGAGAAGGAGGGGGCGAGGGCGCGGGGGGGAGGAAGGCCGGGTTGGGCGGAGCGAGCTCTAGCAGCGCGTCGTATTTCGGGCCCGCGTTGAACTGCACCCATGACTCCAGCATGCGCGTGCTCTTCGGGAACGTCAGCGTGTACGGCGGCGTGAATACCGGCGTCGGGCCGCGATACGCCGTGTCGGAGAACGTCGCGTTGCCTGCCAGGAAGTCGTCGATTGAGACGATCGTGACCGTCGGATCGTAGCTGCCGTCCGTCGGGGGCATGCCTTTCCAGTACGGCGTGACTTCCTTTCGCCTGCCCGCCGGGTCAGGCCGGAAGAAATTCTTCTCGGACCGGATCACGGCGCCTTTGCGCGCCGCGATCGCGTAGTACCCCCAGCTCGTGTACACGTTATTCGCCACGTGGCACCACCCCTTGCGGCACAGCGGCTGCATGGCGCCCGACGCGTTGAACCAGTTCCGATACAGAGTGACGCGCATCGCCGTATCGGCGTTCTCCACGTCGGACAGACCCAGCTGCATCGTCTGCCCGTAGCTGCTGACGTAGCTGTTGGAGATGGTAACGTCAGTGCTGCCCTTCCCGACGTCGACGGTCCCCGTGAGCCCGCCGAAGAGGCGGCAGTGGTCCACCCACACGCGCGAGCTGTTGTAGATCGGGATCAGATCGCCGCGCGGCTGCCCCGACACTGATGTGATCGCGCGGGGAGGACGGGGAAGAATGATAGGGGAAAAGCAGAGCGGATGAGAGGATTGACGGGTGAGCAGATGGCCGGATGGTCAGTGTGAGAAAGCGAGCATTCACCAAACATTCACTATTTCCTCTGGGTGCTAGTATGGCACGGTACCATCGATAAAGTAGCGCCGGGGCGGCAGTGGTGGCGTACCTTCGATGTTGTGCACGATGACGTCATTAACGTTCTGCAGCACGAGGCTGCCGTTGGTGATGCGCACGTGGAAGCCCTGGCCGTCGAACGTCGTGCGCGACCGCAGGAACAGGTTCCCCTGCAGCACGATCTCCATGCTGCGCGCGAACCGGATGTACGCGCCGTCGCGCAGGTACGTCACGGCCCAGCGCAGCGACCCGACAGACATCTGCGACCCGTCCAACGAATCAAACTCGCTCTCCACGATGTACCGCGTTACCTCCAACGCCTGCCCGCCTTTCACGCCCGCCGTCTGCGCGAACCCCATGGCGCACGACGCGAGCTCCTTCGCGGCTTGGTACTGGCAGTCTGCCGATCCCACCGCGTTGCTCGGCCCCGTCGGGGCCGTCTCGTTCGCGTCGCGCCGCTTCGTCGGGCGCGGTTTCGGCGCGGGCGTGGGCTTGGGGGAAGGTGGGGGGGGGCTTACGGGAGGGGGGCTGGGTGAGGCGGGAGGTTTCTGAGCGGAACCGCTGGTGTTCTTGGGCGGAGACGGCGCAGAGGGCGTAGAGGGAGCAGAGGGCGGAGTTTGGGGGAGAGGAGGGCTGCTTTGAGAGGGATTTGGGGATTGGGGCTTCGGTGTGGTGGGATGTTTTTTTCCAGTAGAAGAGCCACCTTCCTTGGGCGGAGTCTCCGGGCTCTTAGTCGGCGGAATCTTCCCGTCCGCAGCGGGCGACTTTCCGCCATGAGCTGGCGCGGGAGTCTTGGGGGAGGGGGCGGGTTTCTTGGGCGACGGCGACGTATGCTTGGGATTTGCGGGAGTTGGTTTTTTCGTGGATTCGGGCGGCATGACTCCTGTGCTCACGCTGCCCTTGGGCGCCTTGCTTTTCTTCTCCGGCGAGGTGGCTGACGTGGTGACGGTGGGAGTGGGCGACGGCATATCCGGCAGTCTACTCGGCAATGTCGCGCTCTCCTTCGTCGCAAGCCTTCTGCCGGCGGTGGATGCTGGTTCAGCAGAGGGTGTTTCGACCAATCGCCGAGCGGTTAATTTGCGGGGGGTGGTGTTCCACGGCCACCAGAAGTGCGCGGTTTGACTGCTGTCCGCGTCGCATGGGGCGTCTGGTAACTTTCCCGCTTCGTGCGCGCTCACGGTGAGATGCGGGAGGACGAGCAGAAACGCTAAGAGGAGGACTGGTGCGCTATGGCAGACGGTGACGATTCTTTGCGCCATTGCGACGGCGTTCTAGATAAGGAGCGATGTTTACTTTCGGACAAGGAGTTATAGCGAGTGGCAACACCTAGTTGTTACTTCTGGATCGTTCTGGTCTAGTGCTCTAATGGGCTACGGTGAGTAGGAACTAAATAGGTTTCATCTTAAGCACTAATGCTAACAAGCTGGACTGAAATGATAGTCGGCTCACTGCACTCCGAATTGTGCCGTCACCTTGCTTGCAGTACCAACCATTCCCCAAAAAGAGCAAATTTGGCACAGCCTGAGCACGCTCAAATCTTTTGGCGGGCTTCTTCCTAAAGTCTGTGGCGGACACAAGTTGCTCGGCCGTCAGCTGTTCGTTTCCTTCTTGTCTGGTGGTCCCGCTCCATGCGTAATCAGCTTGAAAGACGATGAGAGTTTCACCCCCGTGGCAATAAGGTGGTGACATACCACCATAACACGACCACGGAAATCCATCATTCCGTGCTGGGACCTTGCACGGGCTGCTGAACTCGAGCCAAGGCGCATGTCACCTCTGCCGAATCGCGACCGTCATTGCAAATTTGAATTTCTGGAACCTGGTCGGTTTGTGGTGGGAAAATGTGGGCCAATTCCTTTGGCAGAGGCGCGCATTGAGCAAGTCGCACTTCGCCAGCCCTGACGACCATGGCAGAAACAGAGGCGAGCAGCAGTCAGTGAGAACCGACATTAGCAACTGCATATTAACACCATCGATAAGTGTTATATGAGCAGCAGCATTGATGTTGGTGACTTGCTTCACTAAGATGCAAAGCAATGGTCGTCAATAATCACCTTAACAGTGAACACGGCGCGGTCACAAATACAAAATGTAAAAAATATAGATTTTGCTAAGTTGAGATTATACCATTTGTTAGTTCATGATTCATTTACAAGTTTAAGTTTCATTTGTTAATTGCTGGAAAAATATCGTTTCTAGCTTGTGCGGAATGTAGTGAAGCATAATGCTTGTAAAAAACCACCGACTTGCTGTACAAGCATAATGGTTGTGGTCCAGCCCAACCGTCCGTTTGACGAACTACTGAGGAAATGTAAAGGGGAAGTTCCCTATGCGTGCGATAGGATCCCTCCCGACCCTGGTGGGTGGAGCTCAAATCCGTGCATTTTCCTCTGGATTGTCGCGCTAAGAAATATTACGGTACCCATTTCCTGTCCACGAATTGGTAAGAGATTTACTGAGACCCACGGAGACAAGAACCTCAAATTACTGAGTTAATCTAGACCGTGCCCTTGACTACACCGTAATTTCAAACCAATCCACCCAACCTCCCGAGCCCGCCCTCTCCAGCACAGCGAGCCTGCACCTCATCCACTTCCACAAAGCCCAGTCAGCCTCTTGTCGCTTTCGACCGACGGGGACAGGCCAAGCCCAAGCCAAGTCATTGTGCTCAGCTCACCTTTCCCACATTACGGTTCAAGTAGTCTCCATTACGCTTTGATATGCTTTTACGGTAAACTAGAGCGGTTTAAAAAGGTCATAAGAAAATACTCTAAGTTGTACCACTCCCAGTTCATGCATGCCACCGGCCTTCCAAGGTCCAATCCAACCGATTTCCAGCTTCCTAGCCTATTATGCTTGGGAATAAAAGCACCTCCGGACCTTGAGGCTGCCGCCTGGTCGGAAGTACACTGAAATCTATTTGCCGCTCCCTGCAATTGCCGTTTCTGGTGAGAGTCTTACGTCGATGATTCAATTGCTGACATTCCATACAGTCCAAGTCCCTCGTAAATCTGTGTTCCGTGTCATCGTGGTCTTTGCAGGCAATGATTCGTCGGCTGGACTCAGGCATTAACCGTCATAGCCTCGCGTTCTTATTGCTCGTTCGATCGACAGCAGCTCTCACTTCCAGCTGCATCGATTATTTATATCCGTCTGTTAGGTGTTGCACCCAGGTAGGGTTCATTCATGGCACATGTCAATTAGGTCATTCGAAAGCCTGTCGCTGCTTCACGGGAAACAATCAATGGCGGAAGCAGTGAAAGCACGTTTTCTGTGGCTTAGCATGGAGTTGTCGCGCTAGTGTCCGATCACGCAACCGCGCCCCATCCCCGCTCGCTTCATTGCGTGTCCAATCCCCTTGGTTCTCACTGCGCCGTCCCTCACGAGCAACGTCCTGTGCACCCCCCTCGATTCCGCCCGCTGGGTTCCAGGAGCAGGTGCGCGCAGCATGATGGACGCTCTGGGTGTAAGCCGGGTGAGCCAGGACCAGCTCACCATCTTGAAACCCTCGGGCTCCATCAAGGTCACTCCGCCAACCTTCCCTATTCCTTTCCTTTTCCTTGCAAAGCCCCCTTTCGTCTCTGCCGCCCCCCTCCGCCCCACTGTGGCGTGCGCGCGTCACTCTGGGCGCGGCACAGCGCACTGCACGCAGTGCGCGCGCGACCTTGGCGCCATGACGCGCATGCATCACTTGTATGGAGAATACAAGCATCGCCCATGGGCCGCACAGCATTGCGCCATGACTGAAAGCATGCGCATTAAAGCTCCTTTCTCCGCATGCGAACAGGCTGAGGGAGGCTGTCTTGTACCCTTGCTCTGTCTTGCTGTCATCACCTGGCAAGCCATGGCACGCATGAGCAGACGCATAGTGCCATGGGCAGATTAGATGGATAGATGGGTAGGGTGGCTGGATGGAATAACAGTGCTGCATGTCGTGTCTTGCCATGCTGTGTGGCAGATTGTGGAAGACAGCAACATGGATGATGATGTCAGGTAGGCCAGCCTAGCCTCCCATTGCCGCCTCTACTTTTTTTTTTTTTTTTTTCTCATACCTTATTTCATCTCCCTCCTTTGATTCCTCCCTCCTTCCTTCGTTCTTCTTCCGCCTTACATAATCCCCCAACCATCCCCCCTCCCCGCCCTCAACCCCCTTTCACGGCTCATCTGCGTGCCTTCCACGGACCAGCAGCAGGGCGGGGGCCAGCAGAGCAGGGGGGCCAGGAGGGGCGGGCGAGGACGCATCAGCAGCGAGCATGTCTCGGGCGCGCTCTGTGTTTCTCAACGCCGTGCTCTCAGAGCCCGAGGTGGTCGCCCTTAGAGAAGCAGGTGCGCGCGCACGCCCCTCCTCACCACACTATGCCGTGCTGCAAACGGCCTTCGCAGCTAACTAACCACGTTACGCAATACACCTGCTCCACTCCACCATTGTCGTCCCCTTCTCCCTCACAGCATCTCTCTCACACCAATCGCCTGTGCATCTGGCACTTGTCTCTGTGCCTTTGTCACTTCTCCCTCGTATTGCGGGTGAGCAGAGCTGGAGATGGCGGCAGCAGGCAAGGGGGCGGCGGCAGCAGCGGAGGAGGAGGCGCAGAGGGAGGTGGAGGAGGACGATGCGCCGGGGCGCATAGGCGAGGAGAAGCTGTTCAGCAACATGATGCACGACGAGTGGCTCGAATACCTCTATGAAGAGATCCTCCTGCTCCGGGTGCGCCCCTGCCCGCCTGCCCTCCCGCCCTCTCGCCCTCCTCCCTCCTCGTCCCCTGCACTCCCTTGCTTGCGCGCATCTGATGCGTGTGTTGCCTGTGCTGCTGCCATGCTCGAGTCAGTCAGGCCGGGTGTACTGCTGGCTTGCTGCTGTTGCGTCTTGTCACGCCCTTTCCATGCACCCTTGCTTTCTTACCCGTCTCTCCTTGGTCTCCCTGCCCCTTCCTTCGCTCTGCTCTCTCCTCCCGTGGTCCCTGTGGCTGCCCCCCTCCCCCCCCCCCCCCCCCCAATCAGATCGAGCGGCAGAACGAGTTGCTGGCGAACCAGCAGCAGACGGCCATCTCCCGCCGCGGAGGGAGCGAAGGGGGGCCTGCTGAGGGGGAGGACGCAGCGGGGGCAGGCAGGGGCGGGGGGGGGAAAGGAGTGGCTGGTGGTATGGAGAGGGGGGCAGGGGGGAGGGGAGAAGGTGCGGGGAGGAGCGGAGGTGCAGGGAGTGGTGGGAGGGGAGGGGGCAGAGGGCATGGGGAGGGAGAGAAACGCGAGAAGGGATCGCCAGGCTTAAGTGGAGCGGGGGACAGCGAGAAGGGTGGGTGTGTCGTGCTTGCATGGTGCTTATGGTTGATGTCGCAGGAAGGAAAGAGTATGCCTTTGTAAGAAAGAAAGCAAATGCGTGGGCCGTGGATGTCAATCTGTATCGTGAGAATCAGAACTGGTCTGATGAGAGAAAACAAGAAGTGTTGCGCAATTACCTTTGTGTTGTTCACGAATACAGTCAACGCTTTGCCGCAGGACTCACACCACCCTCAAAAAACCTTCTCTCTCCCTTCCACCCCCCCACCCCCCCCCCCCCTCCCTCCCTCTCTCTTCTCTCTCTCTCGCCCACCGCAACCTCCCTGGTTTCCCGCAGGCGCGCGTGGCCCCAGGTGCCCGATGCCCATATCGCTGCCAGTGTTTGACCCCACGGCCCACCCGCCCTCGCCCATGTGCTCCGCTGCCATGACTCCCATCTTCCACCGCGCCTCCCCCCTCGCCCCCTCCTCCTCCCTCAACCCCCACGACGACGCCCCTCTCTCCTCCTCCCACTCCTCCGCCTCGCACGGTCCGCACGTGGCCCCTCATGCGCCGTACTCGTCGTCTGTGCTGCCGCCCATCACGCCCCGCACCACGCGCTTCACCTCGAGAGCCTCTGCCTTCTCCTTCGCCTCTGCCTCCACCCCCGCCAAAGCGGCAATCGCATCGAACCCCTCTGCACCGGTCCCGGCTCTGCTGCTCCACAGGCCCTCCCAGGCAGCGTCTGGGCCCTCTCACGCTGTGCCAGCCGCTGCTCCTTCTTCCACCATCACTGACGCGCTCAGCACAGCACACCCCGCACACTCCCCCTCCTCCTCCCCTCTGCACCCGGCTGTGGCAGCAGCAGGCGGGGGCGCAGGCTTGGCTGGGGGGAGGGTAGCAGGGAGGGTTGGGGCGGTGGGGATGCGGCGGCAGCGGCACAAGAGGGTGGCGACGATAGGGTCGAGTGTGGATCTGGCTGATTTGAGGGAGGAGGCAGCACGGCTTGACCGGTCCAGTGGGGTGGAGGCAGCTATGGTGGCTGCAGAGGCTGCTGTGTCGGGCGGCCGGCAGATGATGCGCATGTGGGAGCGCATGAGACGAATCATGCCCTCCGCTGGCGGAGTGGACGTGGAGGTGAGGAGAGGGGGAGAGGGTGATGATCGGGAAGATACAGGGAGCAGTGCGCCCGTTCTGTGCAGACGGATGTTTTAAATTGCATGCATAGTAGCTGTTGCTGACTGAGCATGTGCTGTATGGGTGCCAGCCAGCCCCCATGGTGCTGAAGCCGTTTCTACTCTACCGTTACCACGCCAACTGCTCAAGCCTTTTCTCTCGCTCTCTCACCTCCTCCACCACCCCCTTTCTCCCTTCTTTTTCATATCCCCCGTCCCCGCCCTCTTGTCCCCATCTCCTTTCCTCCTCTCCTCCCAACCCGTTTCCCCAACCACTGTTTCTACCAGGACCCTACCCAGTCTGCCTCCCCCGGATCGCACCCACACCTGGACGACCATGCTCCTGACGTCAGCACCCCGCATCACCATCACAATCACCACCATCACCATCATGCGCAGCAGCAGGCGGGGCAGGGGGAGCAGCAGGCTATAGTGGTGGGGCCGGAGCTGCTGGCAGCGCTGGCCAAGGGGCAGGTGACGGGCGAGCAGCGCGCCAAGACATGGCTCGCCATCGCTTGTGCTGACCCCGAGGTGCGTGCTGCTGCTGCCGTGCCCAAGGGGCTGGGAGGGGGAAGGAGATAGGGAGTTTGGTGAAGAAGGGGGGCATGGTGAGGGGGTCTCAGAAGGGGGCTGGCTAGGAGATGAGTCTTGACGCAAAACCGGACACACACTCAACAGCAGGCAGGTGTCGGGGCACACCTGAAACCCGGGTGACTGATGTGTGGCCCACATGTATCCTGCGGCCAAAGGGGTTTGCTGCTTCATGGGTTAGGATCCGCAGGCCATGCAGTGGCGACGTGGGAACTCACTTGTGTCGCTTGTGTTGCCCCTCCCGCTGTGTGGTTGTGCTGCGTGACGTGCTGTGCTGTGCTGTGCTGTGCTGTGCTGTGCTGTGCTGTGCTGTGCTGTGCTGTGCTGTGCTGTGCTGTGCTGTGCTGTGCTGTGCTGTGCTGTGCTGTGCTGTGCTGTGCTGTGCTGTGCTGTGGCATGGTGTGGCATGGCATGGCAGGATGAGATCATGAGTCGTCGCAACTACCGCAACCTGCTCAAGCAGCCATCCGTCTCCGCCAAGTGCGCTCCGCCCACTCTCCCTCCCTCCACGCACACTCTCTCGTTGTCTCTCTTTGCCTCTCCCTCTCCCTCGCCCTCCCTGTGATCAATACATTGCCCTGCACCCAGACCGCACTGCACCAGAGCCTGCATACGCGCTCGCTCCTCTACCTGCGGCCTCGCTCCCATACCATTGCACTCCAACACTTCACATGTCATGCTGTCTGTCTGGTCTAATCAGCCTCTGCCATTCTTTCTCCCTCACTATTCTTTCTCCCTCGCTATTTATTCCCCCCCCTCTCCCCCCCCCTCTCTCTTCCTGCCCCGGCAGTGAGATACAGCGGGATGTGAACCGCACGTTTCCGCTGCACAGCATGTTCCAGGAGGAGAAGGGCGCGGGGCAGAAGGCGCTCTTCAACGTCATCAAAGCCTACTCCGTATGCTGTGCTGCCTGCCCCCTGTCTCTCCCTTGCCCTCTCTCTCGTTCTCTTGCTCTCGTTCTCTCACCCACCCTCGGTTGAACCCAACCCAACCCTTCATCACGTTATCCTCCGTGAGCCACTTCCTTCAATACCCGCTCCTCCCCACCCCTCCTGCATTTCTCGTTTCTCCCTTGATCGCTCCCGTCCTCAATCCATACCTACCTACCTTTCCCCCTTCCCTCCCTCGCACCTTGATCGCTCCTTCTCTTCAATGCCTCCGCTTCCCCTCCTTCCCCTCCTTCCCCCCCTCAGGTGTTGGACAAGGAGGTGGGGTACTGTCAGGGCATGGGGTTCATAGTGGCGACGCTGCTGCTGCTCATGGGCGAGGAGGACGCCTTCTGCTGCCTCGTCTTCCTGCTCTACAAGTGCGGCCTGCGAGGGGTCTTCCTGCCAGACATGCAGCAGGTGGGTCTTCCTGCCAGACATGCAGCAGGTGGGTCTTCCTGCCCGACATGCAGCAGGTGCGCCCCTGCTGCCCTGCTGCCTTGATTCCCTACTGCGCTTCTGCCCACGCTCTAGCACGCTGTGCTGTGAGTGTTGTCCCATAGTGAGTACCACCAACTATTGCGCTTCCCATGCTCCAAAGCAAGTATATCCAATCCCGTCCCCCCCCCCCACCCTCCCATCCCCGGCCCCTCCGGCCCCACCTCCTCTCCTCCCCTCCCGTTCGCCCGCACTGCAGTTGCAAGTGCGCATGTACCAGCTGTCACAGCTACTCATAGACGCACACCCGGAGGTGCACGCATACTTTGAGGAGCTCGATGTCAAACCCGTGAGTCCCCATGCTCATCTCTGCCCATCCGCCTCCTGCTACACCTCCTCTGTTCTCTCTCCTCCCCTCTCTGCACCCTTATGCCTCCACCGCCCCCACTATCCTGCCACATCGCCTTAAGTCCCCGCCTCTCCCCTTCCCCTAAACCTCTCTTCTCATCCATCACATTCGTGTGTGAGCACCCCCTTTCTCCTCTCTCCCCTCCCGTCCCTCCCCTCTCGTCCTTCCCTCCCCTCTCGTCCTTCCCTCCCCTCGCTCTGCTCCTGCCCCTCCCTCTCCTTCCCTTCCCAACGTGGCAGGTGATGTATGCGGCGGACTGGTTCCTGTCGCTCTTTGCGCGCACCATGCCGCACTACATTGTCTTCCGCGTCTTTGACATCATCTTTGGTGCGTGCCCGCTTGCTGCATGCATGCATGCATGTATGCCAATGCCAAGTGCTCCAACACAGCAGAGCACAAGGCAGGGGAGTAGGTAGCAACGCCAGTCTCCAGTGGGGGTGGCGCTGAACTCAGCACTGCACAGCCGCCATCCCTCTGACTTGGCACTCTCCTTGTTTGCAGCTCGCTTGCTGCCATGCTCGCTACTTCTCTCTCTAGCTTGTGTGCACACTTGACAGGAGACCAGTCTCCTGCCATTGCCTCATGTGCGTGTGCTGCCCCTCCCTCCTGTGTGTGTGTGCGTGTGCCCTGTGTGTGTGCATGCACCAGCGGATAAGACAACAGCCATTGTCTTCAAGCTTGGCATGGTGCTGCTGCAGGTGGGGCTCACCTCACCTCTGCTCTGTTGTGCCGTGCTGTGCTGTGCTGTGCTGTGCTGTGCTGTGCTGTGCTGTGCTGTGCTGTGCTGTGCTGTGCTGTGCTGTGCTGCCACTTGTGCATCGCAACCATTGTACATGGCACAATGCTGCTTGCTCTGTCACCTCCCTCCTCCCTGTGCTTGTGTTTACCCACCTCCACTTCCGTTCCATGTATGCATGCTGCCATCACCTAGTCCATTCACAGCACCTCCTCAGGGGAAGCACCACTATATCTCTCACCATCGCTCACTGCCACCACACTACACCTTCTCACCCTAATCCCCCTTTCTCCCCTCCCTGCCGTCCTACTCTCCCTTCCCCTTCCATTTCTCCACCCCACATTGCCCCAACCCCCTGTCACGATGCGTCTACGCATGTGTGGGGCCATGCGGGCATGGCATGGCATGGCAGGTGTGTGAGCGGCAGCTGCAGCAGTGTCCGGAGATGGAATACGCCATGCACTTCCTGCGCGTCGAACTGCCCCTGCAACTCAAGGCACGCCTTTGGGGGGAGGGAAAGGGGGGGATTGGGTGTATAAGGCATTGGGGAGGGGAGAGGGCATTTACAGGGTTTGGGGACAGCTGATAGGAGGGGGGTGAGAGCAGTGGGAGGGAATTGGAATGTGCAGTAGGTACGGCAGACTGCATGGTGGTGGGGTAGGATGTTTCACAGGCGATTGAAGTGGGGGGAGGGGGGGGGGGCTGGGGATGTTTCATGAAGCAAAGCACTACAGTGGGTGGGCAGATGGTAGGATGTGGATCGAGGATTGGGGGAGCATGCACCATGTCATGTCTCTCTTTCCCTTCCCACTACACACGTGGCATGACCAGACATGCCATTTCTGATGATTCGTCTTATCGGCTCGCTACCGTGCCCCCCTTGCGTTGTGTGTGCATGTGTGCATGCATGTGTGCATGTGTGCATGCGTGTGCATGCGTGTGCATGTGTGTGCCCGTTGTGTGCGTGTGTGTGTGCATGTGCATGTGTGTCCCCATGCCCTCTACCAGGAAATATCGGAGGACTATCTGGAGGAGCTAGTGAGCAAGGCCCTGCGCGTGCACCTGCCCTTTGACAGCCTGCTGCGACTCGAAGCTGGTCAGGCCCATGCCATGTCTGGGGGGAACGGGGGTGTGTGATGGGTAACGGTGTGGGAGGCGATGCGTTAGTGTGTCTTGTGAGGTGTGAGTGTGAGAAGCAAGAGAAAGCGCAGGCAGTAGCCTGGCATGGCACCTTTCTCCTCCTTTCCCACCCGACTCTGCGCTTGTTATCCTCCGTCACACCAGGATGTCACGCCCACACATTTTCCCCTCCCCCACGTTGGCCCCCCCCCTCTCTCCCTTGGTCCCCCCTCCCCCCTTCTTCCCTCGAGCGCAGAGTACGAGTTGTTGGCAGGGGAGGCAGCGGCAGCAGCGCGGCATGTGAGGGCGGCAGCAGCAGCGAGTGAGGCGGCCGCACGGTCGCTGGAGTGCACGCGCAGGGACCTGGAGGTTCGCCTGCACCACGCCCTCAGGGTAAGCCGTGCGCTGCTTCCCCCACTACCCCCGCCCTGCCCCGTTTCACCACGCCCCTGCATCCCCCCTCTGGTCTTGGCCTTTGTACTGTGTTTCTGCGTTTGGTCAAGCTTGTCTCATGTGTCTTCTTGCTGTTTGTGTGTGCTGCTCGTTGTCATGCCCTCTGGAATGGCGTCAGGCGCGCAAGCAATCACATGAGCTGGCTGCTGTGTTCAAGGCAGCTATAGCAGGCCTGCAGCAGGGTGACCAAGAGAGTGGCACATCGGAGCAGAGCACACAGCACAGCGGACAAAGGCAGGAGCAGGAGCACAGGGCCCTGAATGGCCATGAGCCTGAGACAGCTTCTGAGATTGTGACAGCAGATGCCGCAAATTCTGCCACTGCAGCAGCAGCAGCTTCGGGTGCTCCTGGTGCTTCCACAGCACTGGCAGCGGCGGCCATGGACCAAGCAGGGTTGAACAGTGAGAGCGAGACAAAAGGTGGAAGCAAGCGTGGCGGCAAGGTTGTGCGGGTGAGCAGCAGGAGCAGCAACGAGGGAGCGTTGGATCTGGCAGTGCGGTACTTTGAATGGAAGGAGTGGAGCGAGGTGGCGGGCAATGCAGCAACCGTGGCAGTGCTGCGGCAGGTAGAGGAGGCGAGGCACGCGTGCCATGAGACGCTCACGGCACTGGCAGCAGCTGAGATGGCACTTGCAGAGAGGGCAGAGCAGGTGGCGCAGGAGGGGGAGCAAGAGCGTGTGGTGCAGGAGATGGTGGTGGTGTTGGAGGAGGGTGATGAGGGGGGCCATGCTGACGAGTTCTTCTGAGTAGTGGAGTAGAGGGAGGGGTGGAAGTTTGTGGGTGTGGAGTGGAGTGGAGCATGACACTGTAGTGTATGGCAGTGACTAGAGAGTTTCTACTGATTTGAGAGGCACATGGCTCGGGAGGTGCATTGTGCATGGAGGGGTTGGATGAGGTTGAAAAAGGTGCAGCGCAGAGGCTTCTCGAAAGAGGGAAGCTTGGATTGAAGCTACCCTCTTCTAAAGCAATCTTAAGGTGTCTGTTACCGTAGTAGAGCTGGAGCTGGAGTATATTGCACTCCCGCTAGTCAGAGGTAGTGATAAATCTGTGTAGTCTCCCTAAATGTTGGTTTGCACAGCTCGTGTCAGCCTAGTGACAGCTGTTTCAAGTCGAGTGTGAGGAAACCCAGCATCTGCGTTTTGATATCTACGACAGGGGTTGAATGGCGTAGCAAAAGATGTTGCCAGTGTTGTCATTGTCACCCTGCAGTGGGTTTTCGAAAGCATCGTGCTTCGAAAATTTGGGAATATCCGTTATTGAAGTGTTATTCCATCCGTATTGCAGGGGCTACTGGCCTACTACACATCGCACCCACCACTAGGTGCGAGAGCACACGTCTAAGAGTGCTCCATGCCATTGCTTGCTTGCCACCTACTCAACTGTTTTCACCCCCCACTTGTGTCAGCCTGCTCAGCAGTGGATGGTGTCGCACCCTGAGCAGCACCCTGAGCAGCACCCTGGGCAGCACCCTGAGCAGCACCCTGAGCAGCACCCTGAGCAGCACCCTGGGCAGCACCCTGGGCAGCACCCTGGGCAGCACCCTGAGCAGCACCCTGAGCAGCGCCCTGAGCAGCACCCTGAGCAGCACCCTGAGCAGCACCCTGAGAAGCACCCTGAGCAGCACCCTGAGCAGCACGAGCATCCCCACGTGCCCTGAGCGGCCCATACTTGGGCAGAACCACCTGACCACTGGCCTCACGCTGTGCCCTGCACGCACCACAGTGCCACTCCTCCACCACACTCTCCCCCACCGCTGCTTGCCACCCTCCCCTCCCTCGCCCCCGGCCTCGGCCCCTCCCCCTGCCCCGGCTCCTGCCTCTGCCCCTGCCGGTGACAGCAGCGGGGGAGGAGGCGAGGCAGCGCGTGTGAGTGGGGCGGTCGCAGGAGTCGCAGATGAGAGCAGTGCGCGAGGAGACAGGGCGCGTGCACACGGCGCAGGGCAGTGCTGGGAGCTCCAGCATGCAGGGCAGTAGGAGGACTGGGTGGGCGGGATGGGCTGGGGACGGCGTTGCGTGGCCTTGCTTGATTGACTGGTGGGGGTTAAGGAAGGTGAGGGGTGGAGGGATGCTGATGAAGAAGGGTCAGCATGAGGGAATGGGACATTGTGCGATGATGAAGGATGCACGTGCATAGTGTATCATGAGAGGATGCATATCCTTAACAACACGCACGGAACAGGAAACGGCAACCATGCCACGCAGGGTGAGCAGCAGGAACGAGGGAGCAACACACACGCACAGCATCACCTGATCATCACTAGCCTGTGAGCCATCCCCGCCCTGTGGTGGCACAGCGATGCCATACGCCATGTGCATGGCGGCCACAGCTGCTGCCACGCGCTGCTGCTCATCCCTGAGCAACACCATCGTGCCATGCCCCGCTGCCACTTCCCCCATCACACGCCCTGCCTCCTCCTCGCCCCACCGCTCTGACCCCGCCACCACTGCCGCCTCCATTCCCCACCGCCCCCCTCCTGCTGCCCTGCCCTGTGCGGGGGCGGACGCGGGCATTGGTGCAGTGACGGGGATGGATGGTAGTGGCAGCATGGGTGGTGGAGATGGGTGCTTTTCGGTGCTGGGCTGCTGCTGCTGCTGCTGCTGCTGCTGCTGTGGTTGAACGGAAGACAGAGGTGCTGCCAGGGAGGGGAGGGGGAAAATGATTCAACACGGGGAGGAGTAAGTGGATGGAATCAAGGAAGACAAGGACAGGAGACTGAACAAAGGAAGACAAGGTGCGGAGTGCGTGCATATGCATGGTCACAACACACATGCACCCACCATGCAGGGGAGCCTGGGGTTGCTGTGGGACATGCACCTCCATGTGCGCGGAGTCATGGACAGCACTCTCAGCACGCACAGCGTCCATGGCAGCACTCTTGTCCAGCGCAGCAGTAGCCCCATGCACGCCTTGCTGTGCTGCCTCATGCCTCCCCTCCGCATTTTCCTGACCCAAACCACCATCACCATCACCAGCAGCATTACCACCAGCACTACCAACAGCAACAGCAGCATCAGCGACACGGGCGCCACCAGCAGCAGCAGCACCACCTAAACCACCACCAGGACCAGCAGCATCAGAGTCGACTTTTAGCTCACCACCGTTCCCTGTCCTTGCTTTCCCTTCTTCAACTGCAATTGCCCCTGCCTGCATACCCCCTTCCCCAATACCGTTTGCCCCCTCTTCCTCTCCCTTCCCTTCCTTGCCACTATCCGTCTCTCCATCATTTACCTCACCGTTCTCTCCTCCCGTTCCCACCTCTCCTTTACCTCCAATTTCTTCCGCCTCTCCTCCCTCTCCTCCCTCTCCTCTCCCTCCTTCCTCTCCTCTCCCTCCTCCCTCTTCTCTCTTCCCCCTCTCCCTTGTCTCTCCTCCCTCTCCTCGCTCTCCTTGCTCTCTCCTCTCTCCGCTCTCTCCTCTCTCTCCCCTCTCTCCTTTCTCTCCAATCACTCCTCCCTCTGCTCGCCCGCGCTGCACCACAGCCCGCATGGCCCGGGCCAAGTGCTGCACTCTCGCGGCGCCCCCAGCAGCATCCCACGGCGACGAACGGCCCACCACCCGCGCTAGCTCAGAGCCCACCGCTGCTGCCACTGCACCCACATGCAGTGCCGGCTCTGCTGCTGCGGGCTGCACTGGTTGCTTGTGCGTTGGTGTTGCCAGGCGGGTGAGGAGCAGAGGTGGTGTGAGTGGTGATGGGAGTGAGGGTGGTGCGAGTGGCAGGCGTTGTCCATCTACAGAGTGCACATGCACGCATGGGAGGGCGGTGACGGGAACGCGCATGTGCATGGCGGCATGCAGGCATGCAATCATCTCAGACACGCTCCCCAGCACGCCCCATGCTGCCCTCTCGCTCTCTTCCGCGTCATCGCTCCTCTCCTCGCGCGCAACTTCTCTCCGCGCCACCTCTCCTCCATGAAACCCCACCGATTTTACTAATCGCCCTCTCTCCGCCTCCCCCTCCGCGTCCCTCGTTCTGCGGGCGCCTTCTGCGCCCCCCTCCGCTCTGCCTTCCGCTCTGCCTGCACCCGCTTCGCTCGCCCTCGCCCCCTCGCTTCCGCGCTCCCCCTGGGCTTCCGGCAGCTGCGCGCTCGCTGCCCCTCTCCGCGCTTTCTTCCACGCACTCCCCAGTATTCCGCCATTCGCTCCCGCGTTCACTCTCCCGTTCCGCCGCTTGCCGCCGTCCCCATCACACGCCATCTGCGCCTTTCCCTGCCGGCGCGCGCTGCTATTTGGCGAGTCCAAAATACTCTCGAACTTCTCTCCCTCCTTCAACCCCAGCCGCACCGCCTCTCTTTTCCGAACGCCCCGCGAGAAGCGCCGCTCCTCCAGTTCCTCCCCCTCCTGCCGCCCGTTGATCGTCGCGCGCGCCTCTGTTCCGCGCATGTTGGATCAGCCGCCAGTCGCCGCAACGTGTAACGACAGCAAAACTGTGTGCGACGCAACAATTGCTGTCACAAACGGGACTGCGGAAAACAATATTATATTCGCCAGCAGTCGCGCCTCACCTACTGCCTACCGACAGCCCTCGAAAATACGAGTAGATAAGGCGCGACACGTGGTGCTGTTGCCGTGGGAGGGGGAGTAAGAGAGCGACAGAGGCGAACGCGCGAGGCAGTGACGAGATGGTTCGATAAGGGAGGCAGGCAGGAGAGGTGGTGGAGATTTCTCAACTTCATATTTTGAAATGTCGCGCACTGGGACAGCCAAAGGTGACAAGGGGAAAGGGATTGCAGCGATAAATTCGAGGGCAGAAGGGAAGGGTGAGCGCCAACGTGACGGTCAGACCATGGCAGCAAAGGGAGGTTTACTCTTGCTGGGAAATCGTGATCCTCATACGGTAATAATACCCTATTAGCAGTAAAAGAAGAACAGCAATTGTAGACAAGAAACCTTAAAAGGGCTATGGTAACAGCAGGGCTCTTCATTGACTGACTAGTGTTTTTTTTGTGACAGAAAAGGGACAAGAAGGGGAATAAGAAACCACACCAACAGGAACAAAGAATTTACCATAAAGTGCTATGAAAAAGAAACAGCCACAAACGAATCAATGGCTGATGAGGGCAAACAGTGGTGGAATCTCTAGCAACCCAACCCCTTCATAGCACAACAAAATGACACAGTTGTAAAGTTTTCCAGGATCATATTTTTGGCTTGAGTTGGGTTTCGTTAACAACACTTCAGCTCCATAGCGAAGACGCATTTCCTTGATGTGGGGAGTGGACCAATTTCGACATTTACCAATGAATGGTCCACCAAAAACTGATCCCGCGTGGCAGGCTCATCCGCTACGTGGGCAGGTCCACGAACAGGTGGGCTGAATGTTATGCCACGTCTACTAGACGCTGACACAGCAGGCGCGATTCTGGAATTTGTGAAGGTGCCTCCAGGAAAATCGCTGGGGTCACAAACACGTGTACCGTTCGACCCATACCACACTGCCACCACGAGCATTCTTTTTAACCCCGCACACACCACCCACCTGACCCCAGCCATCACCAGGTTCCCCGTTTACCCCCCATCGTCGCTTCTTGGGCTCATTGACCTACACGCTAGTTTCCAGCAGGCTCAGAGGCGATTGGGGCGTGCTTCAGATAGCGGCTCGTCTTACCTGCAATTTCTTCATTGTAGTTTCTCGCGATGGCTTGCGCACTATCCATTGTCTCAACCACTTTGGTGGCTCAGTCTCTTGCTTCAGTCACAGGCTTTCGGCAAGCTGTCGCGTCGTCGTCTACGCTTCGGTCGTTCCCGTCTGCTCGACGTGCCGCTCCCTCATTGAAGCGTGGTGCCCGTGCCGAGGTCGCCGTTCAATTGGGCGGTGGGCCTGCCAGCGAGCACAACAAGGTAGCTGTGGGCGACAAGGTGCGGGTGTCACAATCCGTGAAGGTCTTTCACGTGCCAGGGGTGAAGGAGCTTGATTTGGAAGGAACGGAAGGGACTGTGAAGGACGTCCTTGGAGTGTACAAGGGAACGCCAGTGTCAGCCAACTTACCGTACAAGGTGGCGTTCGAGATTGAGGTTAATGGAGCCAAGAAGAAGTTCTTTGTTCATTTCAAGGATGACGAGATTGAGTTGTCGTAAATTATAGTGGTGATTGCGATTGTTGTCCCTCCCCTTTCCCGTCGCTTTGTAAACCTTCTGCCACTTATACAATTTCTTGATTTGGGCACCATACTGCCTTGTGGTTTGTGTTTGTATAGAGCTGGTAACGGCAGAAGTTCTCCGTAGTGTCTAAGATACATCAGCCACGGTAGCCGTGTCTCAACATTGGCTTCATTCATTGGGAGCCTTCATCAAGAAAGCTTGTGCTTGGCTCCACGCTAGCGAGAATGCAATGAACCTGACATAATTAGCTTTGAGACGTTCCAACTTACCACCGTAATGGTCACTTGCTTAGTGCTTACAGTGTCATTGGTAAGATAGGCTTTACTGATACGGTAATAAGATGCTATCTCTATGTAGGCTATAACAAGACTGTTGGGGAAACAAATCACCAACCATTCTCTACATTTAATGGAATTCATGTTTGTAGCGTTAGCCTGGTATTTGAATGAAATACGGGTACACCTCACATTTGACTTTTTCACGGCATTCAAACCACCAAGTTACCAAGGCTGCTCGGCGCACGCAACCGAAACACAGTTCGAGGCGGTCGCCCCCCACGGCTTTCCGCCATCTGAGCATTTGCGGGTGAATTTCGGGGAAGGGCGGGACCGAGGCGGAGGGGTGGTGCGGGAGCGTGGGGGTGGTGGCGGAACACCAGCCAGCACGAATCACCCCAGGAAGCAGCGACAGCGCACACGGCACGGCAGTGTCCCTTCCCTTCATCCCTCCCATCCCATCCCATCCGTCATCATCCCACATGCTTATTATGAGGTCGTGCCGCTTGCTCGGAGGTCATTAGGGAAGTATAGTGGAGTAGGTCTCTCAGGTCAAGACCTGCCCGCTACGGACCATTAGTGTTAACTCCATTTGACCCTTTCTTAGCTAGATCTGCGCACACGCTTTTCTCAGCCTTTTCGTGAATAAATTTCAAGCGTGTGGCCTTTTCCACACTAGCTCTCATCAGGAGGTTAGGTATTGGTGCAGGATGAGCGATCGGCGGCCGATCAGTTTAGAGGAGGGATGGGAGCAGATGCGGAGGGGAATCGACAAGCTCGAGAAGTTTTTGGAGGGCGTGCCGGACCAGCGCTTCACGCACGAGGAGTACATCAACCTCTACACGTACGTCCCGCACCCCCGTTACTGTCTTGGCAGATCCCCCGGATGTAGGGCGAAACGCGCTGCGGTGTGAAACACTGCGCTGTTTTTGTTTAGTGGCAACGCGAATCCCGGCCATGCACAACAATTGCTCCGATGTGCGCGTTAGGATTTGTTTTCCGAGATCGCTGACAATCCACGAGGCCACGAATCGACGGTGGCCGTCGGACATTTCCCTTGGTCCCAGCCGCGTAGTACCTGACTACTGCGTCGACAAGAGTTTCTTGCTGTCAGACGTCTTGCTTTAGCTGGGGTCACGCTCGCTCTGCCGCCTGAATTCTTTTATCAGCTTTAATTACAGTTTCGATCAAAAGATTGTTTGCGATTCCCGGTTTTTGACGGCGTTGTCGTGTTTTGGTAACAATTTTTTCCGCCGTGGCAGAATCATCTACAACATGTGCACGCAGAAGCATCCTCAAGACTACTCACAGCAGCTGTACGATAAATATCGCGGGGCCTTCGAGGATTACATCCGAGCCATGGTAATTCGTCCTCTCTTGCACTCTTTATCTCTCCAACCTCCTCGTAGCTCCGTCGCTCTGACCGTGCCTTCCCTTGTCCCACATCCCTCTGATCGTCTCCTCATCGCAACCTGTGCTTTGCTCGTGCGTCGCGCTCGCTGCCGTGGGGCTGTGTTGCGCGCGGCGTGCAGGTACTGCCGTCGCTGCAGGAGAAGCACGACGAGTTCATGCTCAAGGAGCTGGTGCGGCGGTGGGACAACCACAAGCTCATGGTGCGCTGGCTCTCGCGCTTCTTCAACTACCTCGACCGCTACTACATCCCCCGCCGCCAGCTGCCCACGCTCAAGGAAGTCGGCCTTTCCTGCTTCAAGGACCTCGTGAGTGCCTTGCGCGCGCCCTCACCCCCTGCTTGTCCTGCCTCCGCCAGATCGCCGCGTACATATTCGTGCGTGCGCTGAACAAATTGTGTCGCCTTACTGTCCGCTTGCCTCCGTTTCCTGCGTTCTCTCTCCTCATCCATTGCGCGTGATCGCATGGCTGCGCGTGTGCGTGGCCCCGTGGCGTGGCGTGGCGTGGTGTGGTGTGGTGTGGCGGGGCGTGGCGTGGTGTGGCCTGGCGTGACATGGTGGTGCGGGCAGGTGTACGAGGAGATTCGGATCAGCGTCAAGGACGCCGTGCTCGACCTGGTGAGTCCCACCACCGCGCGCCCCCCGCGCCCTTGCGCATTTCCGTGCATTTCACTGCAATTCTGCGCCGCTCGTCAGCTTGTCCGCTGTGCCTCGTAAAAACGGGCGCGCAGCTTTTCTCGTGGCCCCGACGGCTGACGCGGTCGGTTGAGGTGCGCGGTGCGTGTGTGTGGGTGGCGCAGGTGAACAAGGAGCGGGAGGGCGAGCAGATAAACCGCGCGGGCGTGAAGAGCGTGGTGGGGATATTCGTGGAGATCGGCATGGACACCATGGATAACTACGAGCAGGACCTCGAGGTCTTCATGCTGCACGCCACCTCCGCCTACTACTCGCGCAAGGCCGCCTCCTGGATCATCGACGACTCCTGCCCCGACTACCTCCTCAAGGTCCGCCTGCCCTTCTCTCTCTCGCTCCTCTCTTGCCATTGCCCTTGCCCCTTGCCCCTCCCCGTTGCCTCTTGCCCTTTTCCCTGCCTTTACCCCTTGCGGCTTGCCCTTTCTCTTTCCCTTGCACTTGCCCTTGTCCACGCCCTTGTCCACGCCCTTGCTCATTGCTCATGCTGGTGCTGCCTTCTTGGTGGTGCGTGTGGACTTTGTGTGGTTGCGTGCGTGGGGTGGTGGTGGTGGTGGTGGTGGTGATGGTGATGGTGCAGGCGGAGGAGTGTCTGAAGAGGGAGAAGGAGCGTGTGTCGCACTACCTGCACGCGTCCAGTGAAGGCAAGCTGCTCGAGGTACGCCCCTTCCTTGCTTTTCTCTTGCCTTCACTTCTCCCACCCGCCCATTCTTGTCCCTCTCAGCTCACCCTCTCCTTCTTCACTTCGCTCACTGCTACTGCGTGCCTCATCCTTATCCCCCGCCCCTCCCGTTCCCTCCCGCCCCTTCTCCCCCCTCTCTTCCCTGGCTCCGAGTGTGGCGGTTCCGGGCGTGTGTGGTGTGGCGGTTCCGGGCGTGTGTGGTGTGGCGGTTCCGGTATGCATGGT